AAAAAACTAAAATCTCATTGTGCCTGTCATGTTAGCTTTGTTTGAAATTTTCCTTTCAATTTTTTTTTTTTTTGGATATAAAATTTTCCTTTCAATTTTAAGTTATTCATGCTTTGTATAAAAAATATCCATAATTCGTGTGAAGTTGAAACCTGCAAATTATATCCAAAAAAAAAAAACCTCGAAATTGAAATGTTTACTCAACTATAAGAAATGTTTCATTTTGAACTAAGTAGTACAATAATAATATCTGTACATTTCGATTTTGATAGCTAAAATAAATAGAATTTGGTGCTAATGCTAAAATATTTTCTTTTATTATTTTTGAAAATCACACGCTTATAAGTTTAGATGCCTTTTATGCAAAATTATTTAATTTGGACCATGTGTTATAAGTGGCAATCACGCCATCTAACTGTCTTCTGTCTCATCACTCCCCCCCCCCCCCCCCCCCAGCAAATGATGTAAAAGAGAGGAAAAAAAAAAAAAACCGCCCTATAACTTTTTCATAACTTAGCACATGAGTTCAATGTTTGTGGGGTTATGCGTAAGGTACAAAAAAATTATTGAGGAGTTACGAGTCTTAGAAATATGGCAACTCACAATAAAAATAGTTAAAAAAAACTAATACAGCCAAATAATATAACCATAAAAAAAATCTTCAACATGATTTTTATTTTAGTTAGTAGTATTGAGATTTAAAAATATGAATTGATGTAAATTATTCAAGTCTTTTATTATTAATTTGTTTGTAATCACGTAGGATAAAAAAAATTTAATAAATTTTTTTTAATAAAAAATAATATGTTTTCTTATGTTACATGAGACAAAATTATCTCATGTACAAAAAAAAAAAAGATGAGACCCACTTATTTTCTTTCTTTCTCTTCTCTTTAGTGGATCTTATCCACTTTTTTATGTGTTGCATGAGACAAATTATCACATGCAACATGAGAAACAATATTTCCTAATAAAAAGGGATTAATGTTTCTCATGTTGTATGAGATAATTTTATCTTCTATATATATATAAAAATGTGTGGAGCCCATGTGGAATCATGTGAAGAGAAGAGAAAGAATAAAAAAAATATGAGCCCCACATACTCTTATGTATGTATAGGAGATAAATTTATTCCCTATAACATGAAAAACAATAAATCCATAAAAAATTTAAATAGTAGTTTAACCGTCTACAAAAAAAAAAAAAACAATTATGATCAGTCCATTTGGGATTGAGTTTGACAACACATGGTTGAGGTTGATCTAATAGCTACATGGATTTTTGTTGGAATGAGTGTTGCTAGATGATTCCCTAGATGCTCTGCGACTTCGCGAGATGCTCTGTGAGATGGAGGAGTTGAGGCTGGATATCTTGACTGGATGGAACAAATTGGGTACTTGCAAGACATTCTGATGCTCAAATCAATATGTGAGCTATGAGTTTTAATTAAGATGAAATAGATAATTATATCTGGCTTTTACGCCTCTGTATATAGCGGTTGATTATCGTACTTATGCCATCTTAGTATGGCGACATTTAACCTCATTAGTGTGCAAAAGTGGCTCTTGCGGGCTATCATGTTTGTGGGATGTCTATTTTTGAACTATGTGTTATAGGTATAGTTGGAATTAGGTGTTCGTCCCTTAGCTATTGGCTATTAGGGTGGCTGTAAAGTCCTGGTAATGTTGTGTAGTTATAGAGAACTGAGTTGCTGATGTCGTGTGCCATTGTACCTACGAGATGATGTATACTTGGGATGACCGCATTTTCTTAACCTTGAATTCTTAATTGTTGAGCCCTTTGGGATATTCATGGACTGAACCTGTATCCCATATTATGTAGTTAAACCATTTATGTGAGTATTTTTCCTTTGTTATTAATTAATATACCATTCATAGCTCAACATTTTTTTTATACAAGTGAGAATTGAATACATAACTTAATATAAATTATCAAAATCCCTCGTCATTAGATCAATCCTAGTGGCTTCAGCTCAGCACTTACGTCACAATACTTTCAAACAAATAATAAATGAAACATTAATAATTTTTCCACATCACAGCAGCTATTAGAAAAACAAAATTTCAATATGACATGCTAAAGTAAAAGCAATTATTTTTTCATAAAATCCCTGGTTAGAAAGAAGAGCAAGAGGAGTATTAATCAGAGGAGCTGTATACTCTATTCTCAATTGCTTACGATGTTTTCCTCTGTTCTCCCCAAAAAAAAAAAAATTGCTTACGATGCCATATTCTACAAGTTACTGAAGTGAGTAATTGACTAATTATTATCACTATTTTCAACTTGTCTCCAAATGTATAATATAATGCAACGAAATAAATAGATAGCCACATTCATGCATATAAATATACAAGAGAATTAAAATCAACTCATTCACAAAAGAAAGAGCCAAAATGCATGCAAATAAACTTTTTTTTTTTTTTTTTTTAGTAAAATGCATGCAAATAAACTAGTTACAATAAGATATTATTATGTTATCAGCCAATGTTGCACGCAGCCAATAAATTGCCAACGTTGCCGGCCAGGGCCTGTGAAATGCATACAAATAAAAAACAAGAGTTTCAAGAGATTGCAAAGACAGCAGAAGGAACATGGGCTTAATTAATGTGAAGTTATAAGATTCACGAGAATAGCCACTTTTACTGAATATTTCATACCCAGAGATCTACATAGTGCAATAGTTATTTTCTCGTTTCCATTAAAAAAATATATTATAAAAGAGTTTATGAAAGCCAACCTTCGAAGTTACTCTACACCAACAACCAGAGCAATACTAGCTAGAAGGGTCTCTTTTGGCAATTAAGACAAGCATGAGAAAGTTGAGGAGCAATTTTTAACTCTTCAATTGGGTGGACCAAATTGCAATAAGCGCGTAAAAGAAGTTAAGCTTGATTGAAAAGTTGTTGGCAAAGGCAACTTTTGGTATAAGAGAATTTTTGCTTTGGTTACCGAAAATTGCTTTCATTGAAATGATTATAACTTCAATTTCAACAAAGGGAGACAATTATTAATTAGAATTTACAACACCACCCTTAATTTTGTCAATGAAAAATGATTCATATATAAATTTCAATTTCCAGGTCAAATTTTTTGATAGAAAAAGCATCGCCACCCTTATGATTTTGCTCAACTCAATCGGATTAGTCAATTAATTGATGAAGTGGTGTAAAAATCTGGAAAAAGAAAATCAATTTCCATTCATGGAAGAGAAAGATGTAGTTAAAGTTGCTTGCTTCATCAATCTGTTGCATTCAATTATTTGCTTGCTCCATATTTTGCCTTGCAGGCTGCTCTTCTAGTTTAGGTTGGAAAATGTTGACAAATATGGTAATGTGCCTTTAATGGATCAATTTTGTTTTTGATCCTATCGTTGCTATATATGAAAGATCCAAATACATGCTTGTGGACACAATTATGCCAAAAACAAGGTGTAATGCCAGCCCATATGTGGTAACAAGAAGGCCCGGCCTAATATTTACCAAACTCCCTTAAAGGGATGTTTCATAGAAGGAAATTTTTTTAAATTCATGGAAAAGTGAGACTGAAAATTCGATTCACCCATGTTTGACATGAAGATTGTATAATTTTTTCCGAAAAAGTCGGATTCTCGAAATTTATATTTATGAAGAAAAATTCTATCTTAAAATACCACCAAATATGTGATATTTTGAGAATCCGATGTGATGAGAATATTTGATAATTTTTTTGAGACATAATTAACCTCAATCTACATTTTTAACAATATTTTACAATCAATAAAAAATAACATCAAAAAAATTAATCCAACATTCCCGTAAATATTTTGGCCTACCAAATAATCTTTTGATAATAATTTTGAAAAATTCACTTTTTCACTATATTTTTAAAAATCGTGATTATTGGATAAATTTTTTTTGTCTCCTTTATGCACTCGTTAAGTTCCAATTTCAAAACACAAGAATACGTAGCTGATAAGATTACTATGTAATAAGTCTAGCTTTGAGGTGATTCGAAGAAGTAGAAATAAATATGCTCTCTTTGTTGTAACACCTGTGTTGAGATATATAGTCCCACATTGATTAGATGAGAAACTAATATGGCCTTTATAAGGCCTTGGGCACTCCCATCCTTTGAGCTAGCTTTTGGGGTGGTGACCTCAAGGTTCTTAACATGGTATCAGAGCCTCACCGTCCCCCACTTTAAAAAGTGGAATTAAAATAAATAAAAAAGCATAAAAAGGTAAACCAAAAATGGGCGTGTGCAATTTCTACACTTCTAGCCTATAAAGGCTCTTGCGTGAGGGAGCGTGTTGAGATATATAGTCCCATATTGATTAGATGGGAAACTAATATGGCCTTTATAAGGCCTTGGGCACTCCCATCCTTTGAACTAGCTTTTGGGGTGGTGACCTCAAGGTTCTTAACAACCGGGCCAGTAAAACTATAAAAGATCGAGTACTCCAACTCATTGGTGTTTATCAGAACACTTGCAGATTATTGAAGCTCGCCAAAATCATCATGGAAAAACCTTAGCCGTCTGGACAGTATTTAAGCACTTATATTAACCTTGTGCAGCAAACTTATCTCTCCAGTACTTACAATTCCTGTAGGTTAATCCGATCTTGGTAACCAAAGAAGTCATAACCTTTTATTATTAAATCTTACCAGACCATGTATAATTTTTTACTCCAAGTTTAATTTCGCAAATGGGGTGTGGCCATTATTATCAGATTTGATGAGTCTGATGACCCGAGTCCTTTCTCGTCTCCTAACAAATTTGAATTTCTCCGAGTCAGGGAATGATGTTGCCCATGTCCTTCCCTCTTTGCCATGAATTAATCAGCAAAAAAGAGAGGGATGTTCTGGACCACAATACAAGGGAACAATCTAAATAGGACCAGTACCATGTGGATAAATAGACAAAGAGGATACGACACATCAAATGAAACCATGGATTAGGATATTGTACATTTGACAGAAAGAAATGATTAATGAGGCCCGCTTGTATTGTGACCCCACCTGAAATGGAAGTCCTAGCTGTTTATTTATCTCTCTCCCACGTGACATGACACACTACAAAAATGCAAAGGATCAAAATCCATGCATGCTATTATAAATCGACCAAAATTAATAACTAGGACTTAAATCCTATCTTAACTGTAGATTAAGCCAATCTTTTCTTTTTTTAAAAATAAAATAAAATAAGTTATTCAAATATTAGCCCATCTAATTTTGGGCTGTATATGGAGGGTAGCTTATTTCCTCCTTCAAACCTGAGTATATATTCTAATGTCACTTGACTTTAAGAACCCCTTATTAAAAGCTCTCACTAAACGATCAACTATAATAACAAAGAATGATACAATAATAAACTCAAGAGATCTAAATAAGCTTAGGTAGGTTTGAACTTATGACTTCAGAATTTTTTTTCCAAAACACCTTAATCTCTCCATGGCAGCACGGATTTCCTCTGAAATTGTAGTGTAGAGACATCTCTGTGCTGCTTCATCCAAACCATCAGAAGTGCTGGGCCATCCTATAGTAGGGAATGGCCTATTACGAGACTCGGAAATAGCCATTTGCTTCATTGCTGGAAGGTCAAATTCAATTGGATCACCAATAATTATGTCAATTTTCTTATTACATAATGGTAAAGGAGGCCGTTTACCAAATATAGATTTCTTCTCTGGCATCACCTAGAAATATAAGCGGAATCTAGCATCAATAACCAGATACAAATTTAAACAACAAAATCAAATTATATTTATTAAACATATATTCTACCAACTGATATATAGCATTTTTATTGGGACAAAAGGCGCTCAACTGCAATGGTAGAAACCAGTCTCTTGTGCAGTGAATATTAAAATAAATATAGAAAACAGAATGTCACAAATCTTCAAAATACTCAAATTTCCAAAGATGTATCACCAGTAGCAGCAAGACAAATGCAGATTCAGTCTTACCTAATGCAGAAAAACTATATAGCGTGAGTGCTGGCCAATATAATATTCAGTTACGAAAATTTATCACCAAATAGTGTGAAGAATTGTATAAATGTTCATCTATCTCTTTAAAAAATTCTCATAATTTCACGTAGCAATCATTTGTTCTCTTGCAAATGATAATAACAAGAATCTGTCCATATAATCCAGTAGGATTATAATTTAAATTAAAATATAAACCTTTTGCAATGAAAAAAGTATAATTTACTGAAACCTTGAGAAGGAAGGAAGCATGAGGGAAAAAAATAGTGGCCAGAGTAAAAATAGAATGTGTAAATTACAAAGTCAATTATAATTATAAAGTGACAAGTCATGTTCTCAAGGCTTATTGTTTGACCTTTCATTCTGTAATTGGAACGTGGATAAATACTCCTACTATTTTCCAATTAAAATATTTGTTTTGCAATTTGCAACATAAATTTACTGGTAATATTAAAATTGTGTTCCTCGCAAGACAATATTGCTGATCTACAATATTCAAATGCTCCAATTCCAAATATGTCTAACAATTGAAGACAATGACTTATAATGGAGGCTTTCTTTCTCCAACAGACAAGATCAATTAAAAATGCTACAAATCTGAGAGAAATTTTATAAGGAAAGCAGAGAAATGCTGAGAGTTACCTTGTGAAAACCATGATGGACAATTGGCAATACAATTGGAGTTATAGGTGCACGAACAATTAGGCTAGCAGTTCCCCATTTCAATCGCCTTATAGGTGCATCATCTTGATACACTTTTCCTTCTGGAAAAGTATGCACCTGCCATAGCAAATTCATAAATGATATATCAGTTCTACTGTAGAAGTATAGAGGATTTTCCATTGGGTTACTAAATCACAGTATCTATCTAATTAAGACACCAGTTTTAGAGAACATCTGAAACTAGTTCTCTTATGGCAGTGGTACATCAATTTACTGCATGAACCTCCATAAAAGTTGCATATAGAGATTAAGTATAAAAGAGTATATTGACAATAAGTCTTTTGGTTTTTGGGACAAAGTAGGAAAGAAAGCTTATGTTTAATTTGGCTTAAAGGAAAAAAATAACAAAATAACAAAATAGTCTACGAATTCACCCAAAACAGAAAGTGCTAAAAAGTTCAGTGTTTCCACTAAACCACAGTGGCATCTTTTATATTCTCATGATTTTCTTTTTTTAAGAAAAAAAATAAAAACTCATTCTAAACTCTGCTTACCAGGTTATGCAAAGGGAAGATCAAATTTAGTAATCAAATAAAAAGAAAAACAAACACCTAACAACCTGCATTGGTTTATTGTGAAAAAGTTCATTTTACCCTGTTGGAAAATCAAGTACATAAAAATTCATCTCCTTCTTAGCACCTCTAAACACTTCTTCAATTCAGCTTATAAATGCATCAAGCATAGCATGATAATGAAATAAAACAAATTGCAGTCTAGAGCTTTTCTTATTATCTACGGTAGATAATGGTTGCTGGAGCTTTGGTGATCTAGGAATCACTATTGCGATTTGGATTTGTTTTAAGATTTGATCTTCAATGAAAAGAACTGAAAAATAAAAAAAATAAAAATCACTCAGAGAAAATTAAAAACGAAAAGTGCTTCCCAATCAAAAGAACACCAAAGTGTTTCCTAACTACCAATAATTACCATGAAAACAAAAACTTCTACCCTGCATATACACCTGACCTAGGCAACAGGAATGGCCAGTGCATTGGAATTACAGGTTGCAGTCATGGTTGTGGTAGTATTATTGCATTGCAGGCTGATGTGGGCTGCAATTATGGAGTGTTGCGGTTGTGGCAACTGCAGCTGCATGATAACCCTATGTATTATCATAACTTTACATACAAAATGGAGGATAAAACTTCCTAACTTCTTGTTTCAGATCATGGTTTACCCATTTAATTAGTTAATTAGGTGTTTTTACATTTTTCCGTTATTTTCTAGGAATTTAATTTATGGATTCGATTATGGGAAATAGCCTATTTGCAAAAAATGTAAGAGTGAGGCTACATACCATCAAGGCATCGACCCTCATCCCTACCCTCACAAAGTCAGGGAACCTTATGTATCGAGGTTTGCCCTTTCCTAGATTTTTAATTTATTATTTGTTAATTTTATATTTTTTAGAAAAAGATGAAGAGCTGAAGTTTCTTCTCGGTGAAGCCAGCACTTGAGCGCTGACCGCGGGCCAAAGTTTTGGAGAAAGGAGAGCGGTGAGAGGAGAAGATCGAACTGCGAAAGCATCAAGATTACTCCCTCTTCCCAATTTCTATCCATGGAGCTTTTCTTTAATCTTTGTTTTACCTCGCTTTTCAGTGAGTTTCTAAATTTCTTTAGCTAGAGGTAGATGGAATTCAATTGAATTTTGTTAGAAATTAATTTGATTCTTAATGCAATATCTCTTTTCTCTATTGAATCATTTATCCTATGTATAATGCTTTTATGAATTGATCACTCGTGAATTGTTCTCATGTTTATCCGGACAATGAGGAAATTGGTATAGGAAAGATAGTTATGTAAAATTACCATATTTGTTAATGATCTAGGGATAGATAATACTTTATGCAATCTTTTGCAAATTAATATATTTTAATGCTTAAATCAAAAAGAGATGTTAAGGGATTATGTCTCTTAGTTTGGTGTAATAGGATATCAAGGGATTGGATATTAACTAAACTAGGTGAATTTGATTGTCTGTATTGATAAGGGAGTTGAGTTAGGATAGAATTAAGATATATAAAGAAGGATAGGGGGAAATCGAACACTAACCACTTAAATCGTCAATAACTCTTCCCAATCACTATCTCAATTATTTCAATTTATCCAAATAAAGTCAATTTGGTAAAAAGGCGAGCATAGAGCAGTAGTAAAGCTGCTCTTTTGTAACCGAAAGGTCATGGATTCGAATCCAAGAAATAGTCTTTCTACAAAAATACAAGGGTAGGGCTACGTATAAGAATTTCCCTCATCCCTGTCCTCACAAGTCAGGATTTCACGAGTGATTACATAAAGCCAATTTAGTGAATTAGCGTTAGGAATTACAAATCTTAGTGAAAATGATACTCTACTTACTCTTTATTACTTATACAATCGGTGCACTTGTCGAAGTCACAACACTACATCATGGGATGGGGTCCACATATGAAAAACTTAGACTTGCTTGTAGTTTAAACCAAGAAAATTTCACCACAAAACTAAAACTGTCTAAATAACCCATCCTAGCATTTTGTTCTGACATGTAAAGAAATGGATGAAATTGATTTTGTCTTCAAGTACCTAAATCATAAGTCACAACCATGATCCAACATGTAACTGAATAATTTAGAGGAAGATGATAGGAACCCAACAATAAAGAGTAAAAATCGAAGGATATTCTGTTGTAATATCCGTAAACTTCAAAGCATAAAGGGGTTGCTGGAGAAGAAAAGAGAACAGAAATGTAGAAGATAGCTATTGCTATGCTAACTTCCCGGAGCAGCTCTTGCAGCAAATACACCTCTGCCTTCAGCCTACTGCTGAACAAGAGAATAATCATTCCTGCTCTTTCTCCTCTAATAACCTCCCCTGAATAATTACTCTCATTCCACTATGCCTTCTAAATGCTACTCAGTAACTAACTCCCACCAGGCCCTGCCACCTCAACCACTTTCTTGGGCTTTCTTGTGTATACCTTCCAAACCTTTGGCCCATGAGCCAATTGGTCTACCATCTGTCCTCAAGGATCATCTCTCACATTCTGGTTACCAGCAGAAGACATGACTTGGAAAGTTTGTAATCCATTTAACATCAATAACCAGAGAAAAACAAGAACAAGCGAATTGCTGACAACACTAGAGGGTCATAATAATTAACAGTATACATAAATTACCCAAAATATCATCATAAACAAGTTGAGCTTGTGTGTAAGGAAAAAAGTATTAAACGATACATAGATACCCATTCTCCATCATTTAAGCGCTCAAGAGCTTCATTCATGTGCTCTTGATAAATTCCACCACCTCTCATAATAGGTATGCATTTCCCTGTGCAAGTCACCATTTTAGAACCAACAAAACAACAGTACTCTAAATAGAAAAGCTTTTCAGCATATTTGGATGCATAAATTAATAAACTTCAACCTAATCACACAAAATAGATAGTAACAAAGCATTACATTCCAAACCTTCCAATTAGTTCAACTTTGTTTGCCTTGTCAAGTGAAATGGACTTAATCCAATACTACTGATAGACAATACACAAAAAGGACTTCATCAGAAACACCACATTGTGATTACCTGATTGGACAGGGTCTGTCTAACTTCTAGCAATAACATTCACTGAAGAAAGCCCTTGATTTACACATTTGTTGTAAAAGACATTTTCACCATTTTTTTATTCAAAATTAAATTTTACCTAACATTGAAAGCTTGGGCATGCCAACAGCCTTTCCATGTTAGAGCACTCCAGCAGAAATTCCATCTTCAGTTACATTCACTACCCATGAGTTCTTTGTCCCATCCTAGAAGTAAATCAGTTTCCCAGTCCCACTTCATGGTCCTGGCCTATTTAATAATTCAGAACATCAAGTTCTTCATATACTTATTATAAAGGTTTTGGGAGTCGAAAGGATAGTAAAGTGCTTCAGCATTGTTATCTCTTTGCAAAAGTCTAGTTTATTTGGCTGGAGTGTATTTCCCGAAATTTTAGCAATAAATTTCTTTTTCAACAGCTTTTGTGGGATAAGCTTGTTGTCTTAGCTTCATTGTGGGTTTCAGCTCATGGGTTTTACACGGGTGCTTGGTACTGAATTTACCTCTTGAGTTGATATATTCCCTTTTTTCTTTCTTTCCTGAGTTGTTTTCTTTAAAGCCTTTGGAAAATTTCTTAATCCTCATGTCTTGTCCCCAATCCTATCTTAATGTATATTCTACTATAACGGGCAAACCCTAGTGCAAAGGCTCCCCGACTTTGCGATGATAGAGTTGATGGTCGATTGTACGTAGCCTTTGCTTTACATTTTTGCAAAGAGGCTATTTTTCATACTCAAACCCGTGACTAGCTGGTCACAAAGTCCAAGGGTTGCCCGTTGCCCTCAAATTCTTCTTTATCTAAAGAAAAAAAATAAAATCAGAAACTAACTCATAAAACAACACAAAACTACAACTTCTCTGGTTTCAGACGCACTACACACACATCATGTAAATAAACAACTAGAAAAAAACAACAAAAAGAAGCACATGTCAACAGTTCAGCCTATATTCCTGCTTTGAATGGTGCACTTATTTTGGTTTTGAAAATCAAGACTTGTTTAACAACCTTTAATACGCATTTCATCAGTCACCAATAACTGTTAGTACCAAGACATCTACTCCCCTGCGTTCACGGAATGCAAATATGCAATATGTCTATATGCTTAATACAATAAATCAGTAGTACACATAATGAATCAAATTCAAGCTAATCAGCAAACAGTTGAAGCAAACTCAACAAAATTGCGAATCCCCATATATTACTTACAAAAAAAAAAAATACAGAATAAATTGGAAGCAAGAATTACTGTGGCGGAGACTACACTTACCAACCCGAAAAATGTAGGAATGCACCGAATTCTTAAAGCATATATCTTCCGCAGTGAGTACCCATCGAGCTAACTTAGTGTCAAAGATGGGAAAACCCTTGAATCCCCACATTACCGGATCATCCAAACTGCACCAGTTTAAAGAATCACAAAATAAAAAAAAATAAAAAAATAAAAAACTGATTACAGAATCTGAGAACCTATAGAGAGAGAGAGAGAGAGAGAGAGAGAGCTGACGTGGACATGTGATTGCTAACAGTAATGAGGGGCACGCCGGGGGGTCTGGAGCGTACGAGGCGGAGGAGGGTGTCGGCGTTGTGAACGGAGGTGGTATTGACAAGAGACGCCACCGTTTTGGCGAAGGTTCCCACCACCGCAATCACCAATTTTCTGGGTATGCCTCCCAAGTGCTCCGGCCTCGCGGCCCACTGCATCGTCCGTGACATTTTTTCCCCGCGAAGAAAAGAAATGGAAAGAACCGCTTCATTTGATTTTAAGGAGAAGGATACGATGGTAATAAAATTGGGCCAACATTCAAGGGGGATGCATCTCGATCTGCTGTATTACAAAGCCCACGGAAGCAAAAGAAAAAAGAGAGAGGATTTAATATTTGTCTTAATTTTTTATTGAGGGGGGATTTTTTACTATTAAAAAAACCAACTACCAACCCGCTATCTTCATAATCATTATTGGATCAAAGAGAAAGAATGCTGAAAAGTTTTTGAAGAGCGAGAGAATGATAATTATGGAGGTGGTGGGTTGGTAGTGACTTTTTTTTGGTAGTGAGAATATCCCTTCTCTTTTTTATTTCTATTAATCCAAGTCTTTATGTTTTAAAATAGAAAAACAATTGTAATGGACCATGATGACGAGCCAAATGCACTTGGGCTAATTGGCAAGAGGAAAATTAAGATGCCAATCCACTTTAAGGATTTCATATTGGGTTAGATAAAGATATTGGTCCAATAGGTTTAATCATTTTAATTAGCAATTTCAATTACGTGACGGTTTGTAACTAAAGTGTAATTGAGAAACTCTTTAATAGCCCGAAAGACTCGTAATAAAAAGAAGAAAAAATTCAGATCTCTTCTCTCTTACTTCTCCTTCATTCTCCAGCTCTCTCATTTCTTAAGATCTTTCATTTTATTTCTATTACATTGGTGCTTTCATTGAGCTGCTATGACATAAAATATCAAATTTCAAAATCTCACCAATCAGGTTCATGCTCATAATCAACAATTTGCTAACCTAGAAATGACAATGGATCGACGACAGGAAACCTTTGAAATTGCCTAGAACCAACAGTTTGAAGAAGTTAATACTCAAATCCATGAGATACTAGCTCTTCTTCAAAATATGCAAAATCAAATCACTACTAATGCCACACATAATCAATTAGGAATACTGGGCTTAATCGTTTATACAATGGTCACTCACGTCCGATGAAGATGCATTTTCCTCGATTTGGAGCTGGCGACCTTGCTTATTGGCTATTTGCAATAGAGAGGTATTTTTGTTATTATCAAGTTCCTGACCATGAACGTCTTGATTTAGTGTCCTTTAATCTTGATATACCTGCATCTTGTTGGTTCCAAGCATTATTTAGTAGTGGCCATTTGTCAGATTGGGCATAATTTGTGTTAGCATTAAACCAACATTTTAGCCCATCAGAATTTGAGGATCCATTGGGATCTTTAGCTAAACTGCAACAATCTGGTTATGTAGCAGAATGCCGACTTTTGAATTCATTGCTAGTAAAGTCCCTAATTTGTCTCCAATTATGCATAAGAGCCTTATCATATCAGGATTTAAACCACACATTCAAAGGGCTATTTTAGTTCACCGACCAGTGGATGTTTATGCAACATTTTCTTTTGCTAAGATCTATGAGGAGAAGTTTGCAGAGGCTCGTTCTCAGTAAACATGGATGTTGCCTTGCTAACAGTTGTGCAAGTAATGCGCGCAAGTATACGCGACAACAAGTAATATAGGGCTGTTATAAGTCCCAGTTATCGTTCCCACAAGGATCGTTGGCGTTTTGAAATGACTAAAATTTGTAATTGCTTAAAATTGAGTTACTATTTGAAAATAAAAGAAATAAAATTGTAAAGTAAAAATAATTTAGAATGGACCTAAAACACTACTGTTCACTTTTCTTTTAAAATTTTCTGAATTACTTTCCTAAGTTATAAAATAAGAATGAAGAATTAAGCAACTTAAATGACAGATGTGACAAAAATTTTGAAAACAGAATACAGATTGAACTATGAAATAACAAAGGAAATTGGAAAATCTGAATTGATAAAGAGGTTTAAAAAGGTGGGTTGAGTTCTGGTTCTCCTTCCCCACAGTGCTTGAAAAATAATTTGATTAACAAAAAGCTCATTCTAAGATTCTCAGTTAACAGGGCTGTATTGTTAATTTTTAATCTCTTAAAATATATTTTATCCCAAAGTTGCCCACTTCCATATCTCTATGCCAAGTGGGATTAGGACTCTTGAGATTCAGGTCCAATATTACATGAGGACTCATTCATTTCTGAATTGAGATCCCTTAGATGATTTCTCATCTAAGTCCATGTGTCTAATGCAGAATCCAGAATTAATTGTTTCTCAACAACTAAATCCTAACCAAACATCTGACATTTGGCCAAAATGCAGATAATTTTTAAACATTAGAAACAGCATTAAACAACTGAAATATAACAATTAAAACCAGAAAATCAAAGATCTAACAAGCACTGAGGTTTGGGTATCACCAAAACCCAACCTCTAAAAAGTTAGCCACTATCCATATGGGTGAGGCTTACACACAGTAACAGAAATAAAGAAATTACAAACAAGAAATGCTAGAAAATAATTTACAGCACTAGCCTAACAACCAGCAATTTCAGTGCTGTAAATGCATGTATCGAGTTCATCAGATGAACCAGAATCTCATTACAAAATAAAAATTAAAAGAAAATAAAAATGGTGCAGAAAGCAAGAACTGAAAAAACGATAAATCAGAATCAGGAATGGGAAGAAGGGACGCTTTGACTCACTCCTCTTTCCCTTTTTATAGGGTTCCTTTCCTTCTTTGCGCGATTTTCCTCTCCAGCTCAGCAGGTATACACGCGCTCCTTGCGCGTTACACACCGGTGGTCCCCAACAGCTCCCTCCTCAGACAATCTAAATGGATTGTTGCTCCTTCACCCCGTACGTAAACTTGCGCCCACAAATCGCTCCAGTCTCCACTCTCAAAAAAGTATCCAGCTCATCCACTCAGCAAGGGGTTGTTGTTTTGACGTTTTCTGTATGAGGAAAGGGTGTCTAGGGTTTGGTTAATCTTTCAATGAACCGTGATTGAGGGTTTATCTTGACAAATAAACCAAATACAAAGAACGGTTTGGCTTTGCAAATCGCTTTGTGGTCAGGAACTTTGGTCGGTTGTGTGCTAGGGTTTTCTAGCAGCCCTTTCTCGTTTCTGACTCTGTCTCTTCCTTTCCTTTTGATTTTTCTTCATCTGGCTTTCTTTCTTCCTTTCCTTTTGGGCTTTTTAGGTCCGGCCCATCACTTCCCTGTATTTTTTCTTTTTCTCATGCTGACTTCTTTCTCTCCTCTTCTTTTCTCTTCTTTTGGGCCACTTGATTGGGTTTTAATTCCTCTGGCCCATCTTCTTTTCTGATTTGCTTTCTCATTTTGGGCTTCTGATCAAAGCATTTGCCCAATTTTTCTTCACTCTTTTTCTGCATGGAGAATTAACACCAATTGGGCCTGAACATATAAAATCAGCCCATTAATATCAAAATCAGAAAAATTCACTTCAATGCAATCTTTGGGGTTTTTTATTAACAAGGATATTCTTTTCACTCCCATTTTAATATCAAATTACATGTTCTAAGTCACAAACAATGGACTTATCAATGGACAACTCATCTAGCCGCTATAGCCATTCCTGCCCAACCACTAAAAACAATACCACCCCCAAATTTAGCCAACCCAATCAATTATTAACAACTATACCCACCAAACGATTATCTCCTGTCAAAATGCAATCACTTCGTGAAAAAAACCTCTGCTATAATTGTGACGAGTGCTTTATTCCCCCGGGCACAAATGTAAAGGCAGAGCTGCTTTACTATATTTGGACGACACAAATGATGATCCATATATGGATCCATCACAGACCACTGAATCTATGGCAGAGGTACCTCAAACCCTAGAACAAAAAGTTTTATATGAGATTAGCTTCAATGCATTATTTGGCCATCGAACTTCCAACTCATTTCGCGTGCAAGGTACAATTAGTGGTCACCAGGTGCAGATTTTGGTGGATAGAGGTAGTACCCACAACTTTATTACTCTACTCTTCGTATGGCTTCTTATCTTCGTGTGACTTTACATGCTATTTCTCCATTTAAACTCCAAGTGGGAAATGAGGATTCTCTGGTATGCTCTGTCTCGTGTAAATCCATTACTGTTGCCATTCAGTCTCATTTATTCACCATTGAACTTTTTGTTTTGGACTTGAAGGATGCATATATGGTCCTTGGTGTTCAATGGTTATCAACATTTGGCCTATTGTCATAGATTACTCTGCTCTGACTATGTTGTTCTTTCATAATGGCTCATAAGTGTTATTACAAGGACATGCGCTGGTGAATGCTATCTGTAACAGCCCCAAACCCTGTAGCATGATATTGTCTGCTTTGCCCTCGGGCTCATGGTTTTGTTTCTTAGGACACCCCACAAAAGGCCTCACACTAGAAGAGGTATCCACACCCTTATAAGGCATGCTTCGTTCCCCTATCAAAAATTCGACCCTTTGTGAGATTTTGGGGTTTTGAGTGCTTCAACCTCCATTGAAGCTTGAGGAGCCATCAATCCTTGGTTGTGCAACCATTGGTGGTAAGATTCTACCCCTTGAACCTTATTTTCACGGAAAATTGCATGAGTTAGGGTTCGATGAATAGTAAATTGGGGTTTTTGATGAAATGTTGTTAAATTAGCTATGTTCTAGGAAGAATGAAGCTTAGAGCATGTTGTGAAAAATGCTAGGAACGACATTTAATCGGTGAAAATGAGCTTAGATAGCTAAATGAGTATATTTGGAAAATGGCAAGAATATGATGCTTGATATTGGACTTTCTTGCAATTGTACTCAATGGTTTGGTTGATTAATGATTGTGTCCTAATGATGTCTAGGATTGAGGCATTTGGACCAACCGTAAGTGATCAACCATTGGAGCAAGCTATGGAGCTTGATTAGCTCCATTGGATAGGTAAGTTCATGCTTATGTTTGGTATGAATTGGATAGCTTGGTTGATAGCTATGAGATGTTATTGGATGCAATATGTGTTAATTGCATTAAACCTTTTGTAGGTTTTTTTTGAGAAGTGGAGTATTGTAATAGACTGACTGTAGAATCCGTGGGTGGTGAACAAAGGTCGAATTGAAGCTTGAG